TAACCAAGATGTTATAATTGCAATATAATCAAAAGAGTAAGGCAAAGCAAACAGGGATCACAAAAGAGAATAAGTAGAAGAGCTTACCCTTGGGTTGAGCTCACTAGAAGATATCAAAGAGGAGGATCTCCAGAAGAGATCCTTCCCCTCTGGTAGCCAGCTCTTAAATAGGTCCAGGAGGGGTGGAGCCTGGCTCCACCCCTTCCGGTAGCACAGGTGAATTGCCTTCACCTGTGCTCCTCTGGCTGACTCATGGCTCACCTCAGGTGATCAATCAGAGGTTCAGGCCGTGACTCAGCAGTTCCCATACAAGCTGTAAGTTGGCTTTCCTAAAAATTAAGCTTCCTGATTTTATTCTTTGCCCATTTGATATTCTTCAGGAGTGTGAAATCCATCATTTTATCACTCAACACAGTGATAAAATGCTCACTACAACACAGACAGACTTCAATCCTGATGTCACCAATCAGCTCCCTCTCATTGGTGAGTAACAGGTCCAGCATTACATCCCCCCTGTGGGGCTATTTATTACCCGGCTCAGGAAGTTATCCTCAGTACATTTCAGGAGCCTCCTGGATTGCCTACAGTTTGCTGTTCTATTTTTCTAACAGATGTCAGGGTAGGTAAAGTCTCTTGTCCCTGGACAAGAGCCTGTTATCACAATGTCTCCTGTAGCTGGAGGAAGAAGGCTTTATCAACTGGCTCCGCTAGATCAGGCAGCCTGTCGTAGACCCCACATGACTTTTCATAGAATCATATAATAGTTTGGATTGGAAAGGACCTTTAAAGATCATCTGCCGGGAGCAGGGACATCTACTCCTTGTGGAACTCCATAAGGTTCCTGTCAGTCTGTTTCTGACATTTAATACCATAAAACAAGGTACAAAAGAAAAAAAGAAAATTTGTATGAATAGGTGCCCACACATGCTGCAGTAGCTGTCAACATGGTACCAAACAGCTTGTACGATTGAAAATTTCTATTTCTAATGCAATGTTTTTTTTTTCCTGCAAATCTTGTTTCTCTTAAAAGTAAATGTAATAAAGTGAATAACACACATAACAAATCTTTTAAAAGAAACAGCTCTAGCAGTAAGTTTCATTGGGGATGAAAGTAGTCTTCACTTTTAAATGTGGAACAAATGAGGTAAAAGAGAAACCTACAATTTTTTAGAAGAAAGATTCCAAGGCTTTTGGAAACATTTCACAGTATGAGTACAGCTTCCTGAAAGGAGGTTGTAGCAAGGTGGAGGTCGGTTTTTTTCTTACAGGTAACCAGCAACAGGACAAGAGGAAATGGCCTTAAGTTGCACCAGGGGAAATAGAGGTAGAATATTAGGAAAAAATTATTCCCAGAAAGAGTAGTGAGAGATTGGAATAGGCTGCCCAGGGAGATGGTGGAATCCCTGGAGGTTTTCAAGAAAAGGACAGACGTGGCACTGACAGACATGGGTTTGTAGGTGTGGCGGTGATGGGCTGATGGTTGGACTAAGTGATCTTAGCAGCCTTTTCCAACCCTAATAATTCTATGATTCTGTGATTAATGGTATACTCTTGTCTGTTCCTTCATACTTTAGCCCAAGTGCAAGTAAAAGAAAAAGAAAAAGAAAGAAAAGAAAAGAAAAGAAAAGAAAAGAAAAGAAAAGAAAAGAAAAGAAAAGAAAAGAAAAGAAAAGAAAAGAAATCAGCCATAGCAATACTAGGGAAAAAAAAAAATGTTTACTGATATTTCAATATGCCTAATAGAAATTGACAACTGATATATTGGATTACTAAGGAAGCCAGCAACTACTTAACAACATGCTAATCAGAACGATGGTGAGTCATATCAAGGACATATTCACTAGATATTTGTGACAAACTATTCCTAAAATAAACCCTGCTTCTATAGGTCTTTAGCTACATGCATTTCAGCAAGCTGAAAGCTCAAATAATAATTTCTTAGCAGTCTTCTAAGGTTTGAGCTTTAAATCAGTAAATCAGACATAAGAGCTATATTAAAGTCATGTAAAGTCTACAGCAGCAGATTGAATTAATGAAACAACATCAGCCATGAAATAAAAATGAATGGACAGTAATTTGGGCAGGATCATGAATATTTAGGTGTACTTAGAATATTAGAAACAAAGACGTAATCCTCAGAATACTGCATGTTTTGCTGACCCAACAAATACAGAAAAAGGACTTGCAACAAGTTATACTGAAACTCTTAGGCACCAGAGGTAGGATGCAACACAGTTAGAGCCTTTTCACACACATCACAGTTCTTACCTGTCCTTTTGTGCATGTCAAAAAGTACAAGAAGTAAGGAAGTGAATTGCATCGCAGACAGCAAGGGTACTAAAATGCCCAAATGCTTCTATTACATGTGGATATTAATTCTGGCTTCTACCATTTTTGCATGCGAAGATAGACATACTGCCAAGTCACATAACTGGTGCTTTAAGAAATGTTACTCTGATGCCTGTTCCTGACCAATATACACCTACTGAACTAACTTCCTGACACTACCATGTACATATATACACAGCAAAGTGAACAAGCATAAAAATCTCATTTATTTTACTGTTGGAGAGTAGTTGCAAAAACATTTGAAGTGTTAATTTTGAAAATTCAGACTCATGTCTTAAGCACATTTGTGCAACTGGAACTTGGTTGTAGCCAGATGATCTTCAAGGTCCTTTCCAACCCAAGCCATTCTATGATTCTCTGAAAAGTAAAGCTAACATTTACTGGGAAGTTCCTTAATCCAGTTGGTTTTCATGTCAGTAGCAGGAATCAAGGATTTGGTGCTTCCTGGTTTTGTTTTGTTTTGTTTTGGACAGCAAGAGCTTTGCTGAGGAGGCTTTCCAGCTAACCATAACCTAATCTGCCTTCTATAGCTTGCATTTCCCATCTTTTCTGTCATCTTCTATTTTTATTACATCCTAGTGAATTTCACTTGAGAAAACAACATACAATACTTCTTATGTGCAAGATTTGATTTTCAACAGTAGGATTAAATGTGGTAATTTTACACTTTGTACATTGCTATAGACCTGATGAAAAACAAGTCTACACACATCCAGTAAGTCTTTTTGTATTTTAAGTCAGGGAGAATTGTTATACTTTGGGAAGAAATACTGTGGTTTTCTGAAACATCAAATGTTTATTTAATCAGTTACCAGGAGGAATATGACTTTTTCCAAGAAAAGCACATTCTGTTTTATGCCATTTCTATAATATATCTACTTTTCTTTCTGAGGTTCTGTTTGCTATAGAGGGCTGTAAATACGCTTTTAGTTTTACTAGCAGAGGTAGGGATTATTTTGCTCCAGGTCACTCAATAAAGATCGCACTCCTACATACTGTCCTGTGTCACCTTCTGCCTGTTTCACAACAGATGGCTGCCTTTCAGGAGGTTTTTTTTTAATAGAAGATGTAGATGTAAGATTGAAATAAAACACTCATTGCAACCCAACTTTCTGCAGTTGGTTGCACGCTTGTTGTATGCTTGTATGTCTGTCAAGTTTGATGTCATGCAGGAGAATTTTCAAGAACATATTTCTGTAAATCTATTTCTGGTTCTTGTCACTGCTGGGTCAGATTTATTTTGGAAGGATAGGAAAGAGAATGTAAATCAAGCAGATGTTATACTGTAGCACAGCAAACATTGTTTTATGAGGTACTCCAGCACATAAAGTATAACAAGCAAGGTATTTTCTGTTTTAAGGGTGAAAGAGCACACGTAGCTCTCAGGAAGCAACCTTAACCTCTGCTTCTAACTCGGAGTGATTTCTCTCACATTTTTTCAGTGCTTTCTCTCTCCATCTTGCAGAATATGACTAAAATGCACCGCAAATCTATTTTGCATGAAATACAAAAGCCAGCGTGAGACGATTGTCATCACAGAGACAAAACGCTTTCAGTGGTCTATTCACTGCAGCTAATCGGGTGAAACTGATTTCAAGATTCAGCATCGTGATTCTGCCTTCAGTGATTTGGTACTTTTATGCTGTGCTATGGAGGATGCATGTTTTCGCCTCCCATGGGCTTTGTCACTGCATGAACCGAATGGCCACTATTTGGGGGGAGAAAAAAGTTAAAATCGTGGTTTGGGTTCTCATTTGAAAAGCAAAATTCTCGCCTATTTTTTCGGAGTGACCCCACCCCGCCCCGAGAGAAGCCTCCTCCACAGCCCCCCTGGCGCGCTGAGGGAGAGAAAGGTAGAGGCGGGGCTTCGGAGTATCCACCAATCGCAATCTGTGGCCGCGCCCTGACTGACAAACCGATGTATCCAATGGGAGTCGTCATAGAAATAGGCGGGGCGACACGGAAGGGGGCTGGCGCAGCACCGCCCATAGGGAGGAGGCGGGGGCGGAGCATCACCTCGGGGAGTGGCTCTGCGCGTTCGGGGCGTGGCTTAGGGCGGTGTGGGGGCGTGGCCTGCCCGGGGGTATTTAAACCTGGAGCAGTGGGATTTGTCGCTCAGTCGGTGCGGCGTTGTGGAGGCGTGTGTTTATTGTTTGCGTTCGGTGTCTCTTTTTCTTTTTTAACACGCTTTTCTTCGGCGCGCGCGTGTACGCGGAAGGGGCGCGTCCCGGCTGGGCTCGGCGGCTCTCGGAGCCCGTTTTTATCTCTCTCCTCCGCCCCGTGCGTGTCCGCTGAGGGATTTCTTCGCGTCCCGCGCCCAGGGGGCCGTCCCCTTCCCTCTCGCTCTCGGCCGGGGGCTCGCGGCGCTTCCCTCTGGATGCGTCCCCGCAGCCCCAGGCGGGAGGCGGCCGGGGGGAAGCGCTGCCTCCAAGGATTTACCGCCGCCCGGCACCCAGCTCCGCACTTTCTCCTTCCCCGCGGGCGCTCCGTTGCCGCCCCGGAGCGCTACCACCGTTATGGACGAGAGATATCTGCCCGAGCTGATGGCGGAGAAGGACTCCCTGGACCCGTCCTTCACGCACACCCTGCGGCTGGTCAACCAAGGTGAGGGGTGCGGCGGCGGCCCTTTCCTTCCATCCTTCCGCGCTGCTGGAAGTTTCCGCGGAGACGCGGGGCGCGGAGGGGCGCGGAGGCCGCACGGCGTGGAGTTGTTCTCTATCCTGTGGCTGTTGCTGAGGTGCTGCCCGGCTCCTGAGCCCCGTCATGCTCGAAGGAGGCTGAGGGTGGTTTCCCCCAGCCCTGCTCTGGTTTGGGGTGGTTTAAGATAATCTTTCGTTGTGTAATTTATAGAGTACTTCAAGTTGAGCTGTTGTGTAGCTTAGTTGAAGTTTTGGGGCGGTTAAATCCTTAAGTGTTCCCTCTTACCCTGAGGTGTTCCGGTGTAATAGCTTGCTGGTTGTAGATGCGTGACTATTGGCCGGAGCCTGCATCTTTGTCTCGGATCTGGTGCCTCTTCAAACTCCAGTGTTAGGGCGCAAACAACGCCTTTGGTTGCTTTTTCCCAAAACAGCGGGCATGCTCCTTTTCAAATATGCAGCTCCAGGCCGTCAGGATGATCCCTCTGCCTTTGACACGTCCGATCGTGCTGGCTCTTTGTTTCGATGGTGCTGAGTAGAAAAGCCATGTGACTTAGGCTGCGTGGCTTCGTGTGAATCACCTGCCTGTTACACAGCTCCACATTTACAAGTCCCGCTCAGTAAATAAGCCCTCCGAGTATTTGGAATGGTGGGGTGAAGCAAGTTAGGAACCTGTCTTCCCGTGTAACTCAATAGCAGCTAAGTGTTTTTTGCTTCAGTTGAAGTGACTCCAAGCTGTACGACATGCTACAGGGATAGGGCTAAATCAGTGTGTCGTCTTCAGTGTATTGACATGCTGCTTGATGTGTAATGGACTGCAAATGCCAATCTCTAAATTGGATGGAGACTTAACTACTGTCCAAAATGTTCTGGAGTTACTGTTAGTTTCAGCTGTGGAATGCGTGTACTGTGTGACTTGCAGCTGCCTGCCCTTGGGCTGTTGACATTCTGCCTATTTATTCCAATTTTGAAATGTTGTAGGAGTGCCACTGATAGTGGGAGAGAGCTCTTTGTTAACACAACTCTCTATTTCCGTGCTTTCTATTAAAGAAATGCTAAACGCTAAGCTCAATAGCTCAGAACTTAAGGCTGGAAATTAGTGAAGTTACTTTAAGTTAGTGTTGGCAGAACCTTTATACAATTCATACAATCAGATGCACGTTGTGGAAGTATGTAAATTATTTCAAATACTGTTTATGGAAATACAGTTCTCCAGTTGTTACTGTAGAGTCATCACTTTTGTAGACCAATAGTTTTTGTAGTTCTCATTCAAATGGGCAGTTAAGAGGCAGAAACATCTACCTGCTTTCATTGTATAGTACTTGGTACCTACTTGCATACTTGTAGCTCCAAAACCAAGTAATATATTCCATAGGAAAAAAGTGATGGTTGTGGTTTGAACCTCTTTATTCTAGTCTCATTGGAATTTTTGCTTACACTGTAAGTCTTGCATTAAATCTGATTGAAGTGTTCACGTGTCAGGCAAAAAATGAAAAAGACAACTATCAACCAGTTAACTGTAGCTTAAAATGTGTATTTCTGTAGCTGCTATCTAAAACCCTTTAAAGCAGTTGTACAGTTGAGGAACCAAGTGAGGTGAGTTGGATGTCTAATAGAATTGAGAAACTCACTGTTTTGAGAAAAGACGTTTAACAAAACTTTATCAGTGGCTGGTTCACTTAATTCAGTTGATATTCACATTGAAGTAAATGCAATTATTAGTGGTGAAGTGTTATTTTTGCTTGTTTGTCATATGCCAGGTCCAGTGAGTTCTTTCTGTGATACAGCACTAAGGCAAATGAAGTGGCTTGTCTATTTTTTTTGAAGCTGAAGTTGCTTAGTTTCTCAGTTTAGAATGAAGCGTGTTTCAGAGTTTAGCTTAGCTGAGGTGTGTGAGAACATCTTTAAGTGCTTAAAATAACTAGCTTAATTACGTAATGGTGTTTTGATGTCTTAAGAGCATTACATTTAGGATTTGCGTTTACTTTAACTGAAATACATAAACTTAGGATTGATGTGTAAGAATTCTATGGTAGAACTTGTGAATCTTCCTGAGATGTTGCTCCCTCATTTCAGTTGCTTCAGCACCGACAAAAGAGCAAAATAGCTGAAATAACTGCCCAGGCTGAAACTCTGCTTCTAGGCTAGGGAAAAGTGGTCTGTGTATAGACTTCCAAAAATCATTTAATTACAGCTTTTGCACAGAAGTGAACACATTTGCATGTTACGCTTGTAATTACAAACTATAATTTGGATACATACAAATTACGTAATTGCAAATGATACAGAAAGAGCTTGACATGCTTTGTTTCAGAGGAGTCACTTGAAAAACAATGCAGAGATAACTAGGATGCTGCCAGAATACTTCGATAGGCAGTGTTGTTGGTCTCTCAGAACTAAGGTGTCTGTCTCCTCTTGCCCTAATAAAAATTTTCAGCGTTTTGAAAGTATTCAACTTGGAGGTAGTATTTTTCATTTATCCTTCGTAATATATTGCAGTGCTGTTGCAATACTGATTTCTTTCATTGGCGCTGAACACTGCTCAGGAATTTGGCGACTGTCTTTTTTGGGATGCAGAATCTATTAGTGATTTTTTTTTCTTATTGGTATGTTTAACTGCTGCTTAAATTTTAGTGTAGTAGGAATCTTTTCTATTTTTTCTGCTTTGAATAAGATTTACTTGTATGTTTGAACAGTAAGTCTATTTAAAAATGATTTTTGTTAACCTTTAAGCATGCTGTATGTTGGAAGCAGGCATGTTGCTCGTAATTGTGTCCATCCTAATAACATTAATTTGTAGCTGATACCAGGCAATGGGAACTGGAATATTGCTTGGTTACTATCTTACAAGTAAGGACAAAAGGGAAGGATACAGTTCTGTGAAAGAGCAAAAATCTGGTACAGGTATTGTGTCTTTGTATTTTTCCAAGTTACTGTCAGCTGCTCTATTTTATATGCAAAAAATGGGAAATATGTTTTGAATGTAAAAGTGATACTTCTGAAGTGAAATCAGTTCTTTATCATTGTGTAGATTGCAGTGTTTTTGAAAGCTATTAACACTGCAAGTGTTTGTACATATTACAACCAACACTACACTGGAAAAAAATTCCCTAATGGTAATGTAAGAATGTAAAAGAGAAGAAAAGAGTTGCCTTATTTGTCATCCTATAGATCTGTGCTGATCTGGCAAGTATTCTGTGAATGTTGGGTAAGGGATCTGAGTCTGCATGCTACCAGAAGCTCACTGAAAACATGTTGATACTGGGTGTGTTTTTTAATAAGATGACATTAAAACTGATGTTTGGTGCTTGTTTTATATAATGTTAAATATGTAGGTGGAGGGAAACAGTGATTAAAGTCAGGGCAGCTGAAATCCTTACATTAAGAGGTAATGAGTCCATGTCTTATCTGAAATACAGCTTTTACTTCTACGTAGGCTGGTCTTAAGGAATTTTGCCTTAAGATCTTATTTTAGCTGTATTGAGACTTAAGCTATTGCTTCAGTTGGCAAGACTACCTTTAAACTCCTGTCAAGAGTAAGATATACAGGAATAACAAGCCTTCTGATCAGTAGATGGCTGTGTGTGCTAGCTGGATGCTGGATCACTGTGCTGAGCCACGTGACTGTCTGTGATCAGCACAGGTTTGCTGACTTCTGTCCAAAGCTTCATGAGTTAGTGATCAAATTGCCATCTCTTAAAACCAGTACTTTCCTAAAAGCCAAGGAGGATAGATGGTGTGAGACGCGTACTGGCTTCCTGCATTGTAGAGAATATTAACCTGCCTTATGTTTGTAGCTATTCTGTGCCTGCAAAGTAAAAATTGTTAAAGCAGGAACTCAATTTATTACACTAACATAGATGTTAATGATTTTGAATAAATCTATTCAGGGATGTGGGTTTCTGGGTGCTTACTAAGGATTTCCTTTGATTTTTTTTTTTTTTTTTACGAATAGATGTGTGAAGAATTAAAATTTTGTCATCAAGCACACTTTTTAGTGAACTGATGCACTAACTTTGTGATATAAATCATCTGTTTGCTGCTGAATCATCCTCCTGCTTTGAGGACAAACATGGCATGGGGCAGACATGCATGGTAACTTCAGTTCCCAGTCTCTCAGTGGTGTGGCACATCCTCCATTTGTTTCTCATTGCAGCTTCTGCAAGCGAAGTAGTAATTCCCCTTTTCAGTATTCAGCTCTTGAAGGCTGGCAAAATGCTCTGTAGAGGCTATAGGCATTTTGTAAAGCAAATGAAAAAAAAAAAACTGATTGGATTCTGTATGTTCTGAGTAATCCTGAGTATGAGTAAATTTTGTAGTGCACACTTCAGACTGAAAGATTTTTGAAGTTGTCATTCCTGGAGGTTAACTAGAAAGCAGAAACTGTTATCTTCTAAGAATCAAACTTCAAAACAATAATATGTGAAAGCTTACAAGGGTTAACTGGCAGGTGTAATGCAAGAAAAATTTCCATCAGAAATATGGATGGGTATGGCTTGAAGGCAACCCCATAAAACCAAGCGAAGCTGGCTTAGGTTCTGGTTCTTTTAAGATAGCTTAAAAAGTAGTAAGAACTTGAAGAAGCCATCAGATTGTCTCTTGTTTCATCTGGTCTATACCTTCTCCACTCTACAACACTTCAGAAGCAGACATTTGTTGTGGTTGGCTCATTGCTTTTTGTGCAGTGAAACTGCCCTGGGAAAGTTGTAGCTTGTTAACAATTAGGTTTGAGTCTTAGTCTCCTAAAAGGCAGGGGAATTGATTTATCAGGTATTCCAGTCATGTTAACAGTGAAGCTGGGAAATGCAGCTAAAGATAAGCATACATACTTCACCCTGGGCTCATCTGCTATGAAGCGTGACTCTACCCTGCAGCTGCTCACCCATGATCACATTGAGACCAAAGCTGACTTCTAATTCACTTGCACACTTACTTTGGCAGTCAATGAGAGAGATCAAATTTAAAGGT